AGTCTGGTATAACCTATTGTCAGGAATACCTTTAGTATCATCTAATCCAGAACATATCTGAAGATAAGCAAGCAAATGTTTATGGACCACTTCACAGCTGAAAAAGCTGGAAACTAGTTCTGTTATATGATTCATAAGGCTGCTACTGCATGATACTTGGTTATATTTACTCCTTATACTTTTTAGTATCCTTGTCCACTATAGTTCTGCAACCTTGTATCATGCAAGTAGTGCTTATTTGCTCCTAGTTTGGAGCACAGGGTTCTATTGCTCTATTTTTAGGGTTTTAAAGCCAATTTTGCAAGTGATGCTGCCCTGAGTAAGAAGCTGTGGTTTCTGCGTTGTCCATTTTGATACTACAGGCAGGTTCTGGGACTTGCTCTCCAGAGGACTTGCGTACAGAGGACTCGAAGTACTCCAGGGCCATTTTTGCTAAATCCTGAATATCTTATATTGTCTATCAGTGAAAGAATTTAAGCCAGCTAAATTGTCCTGACAGGTGATTGCTAAAGGCCACAAATCAGAAGGGAGGTATTTTATCCTACTAAAGAATTTTAAGTGGTGCATCACAGATGTAGTCTAGCTAGAGAAGCCAATCTTGTGTAGGTGAAAGGGAGTATGTAGCTGCAGCATTGGTGATCATTGTGGTGCCTATCTGAGTGGAAAATGGCTGAAATATGTACCTTTGCCAGAAGTAGTGCCTTCTCACTATTCTTAGGCACTTGAATCTGTCTCAAAACCAACCCTTTCCCTCTATCTTTAATTCTTCCTTTCTAAATAAAAAGATAATACAGTAGAAAAATGTATTTAGATTGCATCAGAGGTATGTGTAACAATCTGAATTGATGCTGAATGAGCTAATTAAACTCTTTTATTTCCTAATATCAAGAGGTTTACTTCAGAAGCAATAATTTATATAGCTAAAGGAAATAGAAAAACCTACCACGTGATACCATGACATTGCACATCTTCCTGCCTTCTCTGAAGACTACAGATTTTCTCTTCTTTGTTCTTTCTCTGTGTCTCGCTGACTCTTGAACATTGAGAGTTTTTAGAGGAAGTTTGGGATTAGCAACAGCAAATACCGTAGTAGCTAGGGCATTCTCCTTGAAGAAGGGAGAGTGGACTCAAGCTGCCTCAGGTTGAGGAGGGCTTTGAGCCACTACCTCATGGACTCTGTTGAGATGCAACAGCCACTATCTCTTGCTTCCTTCTAGCAGATGCCTATCTGCAAAAGAGAGTCCTTTGCCAATACTTTCTTTGCCTGGATCAAGGTGGTTTCCTGATCAGGAACACTGAGGCACCTTATAGATGAGAGAGAAGCAGACCTCTTCTTAAAACCTTCACTTCAGAGCTGCCTATTTCTCTCCATTTTCTGTACAGAGTTGGGAAACTCTTCTGACTTGACATGGTATGATTTCTTAGCCTGGGTCAGGTCCCTACTTTAAGTGTTGCAGCCTTTGAGTTAGTGTCTAAATTGTGATCTGAAATATCTCAAAAATTTCTTTGTATACAACATGTAAAAATAGTTATCTGCCTTCTGGAGACAGAATTATTGTTAAGTTTTACCAAAAAACTTTGTAAACTGTACTTATCACTTGCCACTAGTGACTTTCAGAGGCTATAGTGCCTTCTATAGTCATGGATTTCCACAAGGAAAGCGAAGAGAAATCATTTAATCCTGGGACAACCACTCTGATAGGAGATGACTTAATTGGTTTTGAGGCTTTTTTTTTTTTGTAAAAGCCCAAACAGTATTTCTTATTCGTTCATCACTTCAGTAGTATAAAAATACTCTAAGTAAATTGTTACTACGTACACACATTATAAAAACTTCCTACGAAACATGAATTGCTATACTTTTATTTTTCTGATATTTCCACTTCTTCTTCCCAAGATTAATTTGCAACAAAGTAAAAGAAACCATCTTTAGCTTATATGATAGCTAACATGTCAATCAGTTCTATCATGATTTTAAAAGCAAAAAAAAAAGTTAGTGAGGTGACTGGAGAACTTGAATTTCTTGGGTTTGAGGAAGTCCTGTTTTCTTTACTACATTACTGAATATTGTAAAATAGGTATTGATAGTAATGATATTATCAGGTCCAGACCCCTTGCACTACTGATGAGCAGAATTATTTGCCCTAATTTTTATAGACCTCGTTCAATGACATAGAATGGCATTAATCTTCTTTGTAAGTCATTTAAATCTTATACCACTCATTTAAATGTATGTTGTGTTTAGCAACTGGTACACTTTTATAGAGATATTTTGTCAGTCTAAAAAGACTTTGTTATCATAGAATATGGGGTGGGGAAGAAGAGGACAGCACTTGGTGTGTCAAGATGCATACAAAATAAGCTACAACTCTTAAGACTGTGAACAGTAATGGAAGGAAAAATATTATGTAAATCTATTATAGCTATAAACCAGGTGGATGAAGCTTTCATGATAGCTAGCAAATCACACAGAACCCAGATCACAGTGGTAATAGTGGATACAAATTAGACAGCTGTTGAGAAAACAAGAATATTTTCCAGTAATTTTTTTAGTGTATTTGCTGTTGACAGCTTTTTTCTATATAAAGCAGAGGAGCCATCTATAGGAGAAAGACTCTGCATGTGATTCAAAATAGGGAAGTTACTGAAACATGAAAGTTGAAGAAAGTTTGGGTAAATGTGACTTAAGTGAGAGTTTATGGTCCCTAGTAACAAAAGGAGGGAAGAATGTTAAAGTAAAAACAATGGATTTTGTGAGAGAAGGCTACAGTAAACACAGAATAGGTAGATAAGATCTCTTTAGTCAAGCCTCAAGGGGGAAAAAGAATTAAGGAGAAGTGATGCTTTGTCAGAGGTAATACTAAAGCACAAACAATGCTAATGCAGAGATTTAGACTTTAATTAAACTGTAAATTCTTCATTGACCTCTGAGACTTTCTCAGTTTGCTGAGGAACAGAATAAAAGATTTGTATGAGAAAGAGACAGAGTTGGGTAGGGAGCAGGGATGCATCCAAAAATGTTCTGTCACACAGTAAAAGAAGAGCCAAAGAAAGTGTTTATCATTTATAAGCCTTTCCTCCAATGACAAGAAAATGATACTGAGGTTCTAAAGCTTTTAATGTATTTTTTGTGCAAGTTTTTGCTAAGGAGTCAGCTATGCACAGTACTAACGCTGAAACAGCATTCTGCCATCTGTTTGTGTATGCAAATTAGTTGTTTCTGAAAATCAAATAATATTATGAAATGTAAAAAAATGTCACTAACTCTGTGGCCAGTTTATGGAGTGCCATAGGATACCATAGATAGATTTTAATTTGAAAATGTTAAATACATATATTTGGGAGTTACTTTTAATATTAAAAATATTTAGATGTTCCGTAACTTCTTAATGTAAAAACTTGGTTTCTGAGATCTTTTCTTTTGCCGTTTATACTCTTGACAATCTGACTGGTAATGTTTCAGCCCAATAAATACCTGCTTTGGTTGGAAGTACCAGAAGTTTATTTTTAAATGAGGTGCTGCGTTATTCTGACCTATCTGCAATAAAACCAGAAACCAGCAATTGTTTATGCTTAATTTAGTGTGATGATGTGTATACTATGCCATTTAGAGAATCAAGCTTTATATATTTAATCAATAATTTGTACAGAATATGATACCATATGTAGGTAACATGTAGCTAATGTATAATGCTTTATTTTAGGCAAACATAACTGTCTGTTTCTGCAGGAAGAATTATTACTAGCATAAAGTCAACAGCATATTCAAGGATGATTCTTCCTAGTTTAAATTAGCCTGTGCTGGTATAAATACTCGGTTATAATACAAACTTCTTCAGGCAGCTGTGAAATCATTTTAGTTACCAAACAAATAAGATTTTATCGATGTTATAAAATAGTAATTATGCTACAACTGGAGTAGCTGTATGAAAGAGCCAGTAATAGTACCTTCATTTCTAGATTCTCCTCTCTTCCATGCAACTCTTGGGGAGCATGGTGGTTTGTTCCGTAATACAGATGGTTGAGGGGGGCATAAAATGCGAATTAGAGAAGGCGGTTATGTTTTTGAGCCCTGAATGTGGATTTCACTGTGGTAGGTCCATGTGAGAAAGCCAGAGTATAGTATAAAAACAGTAAAAGGTCACTGCATACTTTTTTTTCCCCTAACCATTATTTGGAGCATATTTCAGATGCTCTTCTCATCTCAAGGCTCTGAAATAAATTTTCATTTTTTGTTTTTTTTAGTTCATTTCATGACAGTTATGTCAGTTGCTTTAGCTGGTTCCCATCATTTGAATCAAAGGATCAAAGTGCTTGCATCCTCCGGGACAAGTATAAATAAAAAAAATTGAAATATTCTTAGAAAATAATCTTGTCATACTGGGAATCATTTGCTAACTTAGCTTTTCCAAAAGATGAAACTAAGTGAGAAAAAGCTGGTGCCAACTCAGCCTTCTGAGTAACTCTGAAATATTGCTAGAGACTTAAGTAAATTATTCTTAGCAAAACAAAACTACTTCAGGAATATTACACGTATTATATGTCTGACATATTACACATAGTCCAGCTTTTTCAGGAGATCACGATATTAAGAATACAATTTCATTAGTATGTTTTAGGAAGCTCAACATCTTAAGCATGATCTGTGTAAAATTCATATGGCTTATAGCCAGGCGAGATGGATATGCCTTAACTGTGTTGACATCAAGCTGTGATCACTGTAGGCAAAAAAAACTTGCAACTAATAAAGAAGAGTGGCACTTTCATTAAGTTTCATTTTAACCCAATTTTTTCTTGGAATTAATTTTAACTCAAAGTTTCTGTTTTAGATGACGGAAATCTTAGCTTTCTCCATACCAATATTTCCTGCTTTTTGTTCTGTTAAATGTTAAACTCTGTAACACCAATTAAATCTACCATAAATTAACTATAAGTAAATGTTTAATCTTTCTGTGAACTTTGAACGGTGTACTAGTGGTTTCTCTTTTTCTTTGAATTAGATGGAGAGCAGAAGACTCAAGTGATGATTCATGGAATTGAGCCAATGCTGGAAACACCCATACAGTGGCTAAGCGAACATATGAGCTATCCAGATAATTTTCTCCACATTAGTATCATTCCCCGACCTACTGATTGAAACTCAGCTATATTGGTATGAGGATCATTCTCAAGCTGGAATTATAAGGGCATGTCAACTTCTTGCTTTTGTCGGTCTTGACAGAGGCAGCCTGACCAGAAAAAAAAAAAAAAAACAAAAAAAAACCCAACAAAAAACTGAAACAAACCAAGAAGTCCTCACTGCTGCAAGCCAAACAGGAAGAGAGATCCTATCATCAGATAAGGGCAATTGGGCTGATCTTATTTTGCATCACCGCTGCTTTTCTTCACCACTGTAATTAAATCAGTTGTGATATGAAAGAATTTACGGGACCTCTGCAAGTCTGCTGTTGTCTTGTAAAATATAATGAAGCTGAAACTGTCAGCCGAAGAGCAAATGGAAATATGCCACTTGATTGTATTTCTGATTAACAAATAAACAGGGTTGTTTCCTAAAGTGGTAGTGTTTCAACTTTGAGAGTGGAAACATTGGTTTAATTTTCTAGAAAGTTAGACACTGAGAGATTCAGTTACCAATAGCTTTTTGTAAAAGATCAAATTACTGTAAACCCATCTTTCCTTAATGAGAAGTTCATGTTTACAGTATGTGTATTGGTATGCAAATGATCTTTTAACTTTGATAACAAGCAGTGAGAGATTTTAAAGTAAACCCGTGAGCATGTTTTGTCATTTAAAAACATGCACAACTTAATAATTTACAAATACTTTTGATTTGTATGCTGTCACTGAATACTCTAGTATGTTTATTATTCAAACCAGTTTTCATAGACTAGCAATGATGTAGGATAATTTGTCTCAGGATTTGTCATGGCATTTCTTTGTGCTCATCTAAATTTTTTTTTCTGTAAGAATATTTTCTTAATTTAGTTTTAAAAGTTAAAAAAAAAAGTAAACGGATGTTGCAAACGATTGTATCCTGCTGTTTATTCCCATAGACTAGAAAACAGTTAAATCATAGAATGATGAACAGATGTATTGCTTTTTAATAATTTTGAATTTTGGAAAGCTGAGGCTTTTCCAAGCTAATACTTCCTTACATCTGAGTTTAGTTTTCTACTGTGGTCCCTGAACAATCAGCCTGAAATTTGGAAGTTTCTAATCTCATTGCACAGATTTTTGCTTATTTTAGCAGATGTATTTTTAGGTTATTGGATCGCTTTGGTTTCTAAATGTTTGTTACCATTGCAGCTGCTACTAGGACTCTGCCGGTTTTTTTGTGTTACACTGAATTCATCAAACTGTGTGCTATATTGCTTTGTCTGCAGTTTGTGGCTGTTTGTGGCACAAGACTGTGTTTATAGTAGACATATTATCATATATGTCAAATATTATCAAATATAAAGAAAGCATGACATTTTTCTTTCAAAAATAGTAGCTGTTGAAGTTTCTACTCAAAGTCTTGGCTTGCAAATGTCCCGGTAACTCCCAGTGCTATTCCCATTCATTTCCATGCTCCCTTTATGGTAGGACACTTACCTGTATCTGAAAAAGAAGAAAATGAAAATCAATCAATCAAACAAAAACCTCTTTAAGAAGCAAGAGGGGAAGGATCTCTTTGGGTGAGGGTAGAATCGAGGCTGAAAAAAGCCCTAAGGGCAGAAAAAGTCAGTAGACAAATTAGTGTTTTACATGTAAATGAGGAAATAGCATAAGGAAATGGAAGGGAAAAGGTAATAGTGAAATAAACTAATGCTGTATTCTGCGGGTCATGAAGAATTTTTAAAACAAAACAAACCATGCTGATCTGTGTTTATGCAGAAGTGAAATGTAATATTCTTATAGTGGGATGACTTGGTTGAGTTACTCTAATTTCCAGTTCTGTTTGGAATTTTTGTTAGTGTTGGATTGGCATTTATAAACTTTCTTAGGCAGACACATCTAAATATTCTGGAGAATTTCAAAGTCCTGCCAATGGATAAAGCAAATATTTTGTAGAGTCTTCATATTAAAAAAAAAAAAAAAAAAAAAAAAAAAAAAAAAAGTTTTTTAGGGATAATTTTTCCATTAATCAGGATAAGAGGCAGTACTTTTAAAAAACTGTAAAAATTGTGTTTCCTTTGTTTTAAGGTAAGCTGGAGTAAGTCACTGGCTATTTTAATATATTCTACACCAGCATTTTAAGTATACAGCTCTTTTCTCATGGCCCGTATTTGCTAGTAAATCCAACTTTTAAGGCCTAGCATGGAACAAAGAAATAGCTTGGCTTTAAAACATATCTTTCCTCTTATTTTAACTATTTAAACTTTATTAAAAAATAAAACAAAGTTTGAGTCTGTCTTTATTTCAAGCTAAATAAGGATCTTTGTCATGGAGTGACAAAAACATTTAATTAATACTTAATAAGTAGGAACTTCTTAAAGAGCTGGTTGGGTGATGTATCTAAACAAAAGCACATCATCACAAATTTGAAGTGGCGTCTTTGCTTTACCTGATTTAAATAACATTTTTGTAATTTATTTTACTTACTGTGTGAATACAATAGCAGCAGAAGTTGCGTTGTGGCTTAATTACTTTTCTTCACTTTGAAATGCTGTAACTTCTGGAAGAAATACGTGCACACACACTCCTCTACATTTGGAATTTAAGTGTATCTGGTGAGCAACTTAAACCATAGTTTAAAAAAGAGCAAAATACAGAGCTTGTTGCTGTCTTCACTGTATTTCATGTTGTTTGGCAATGGCTACCTCCATTTTTGAATGTTCAGTGAAGAAAGAATGAATTTTCCAATTATTTCTTTGATACCACTGGCTGTCACAGCCCGCTGTCAGTCAGCAAACAAGGTGATGCCTTTTCATTAAGTGCTAGAAATCTGTTATTTTAGTTTTAAATTAATTTGCATTAATTATTTGGGGAAAAAAAAAGGCCCCTAAAAGCCGTGGTGTGGGATTGGGGGCGGAAAAAGAAGAAAAAGGGGGGGGGGGGGGGGGTGTTTGCCTGCAGGAGCAGCAGTTCTCACGTGGAATATTGGGGAGGGGGGGGGCTGAACACCCCTGTGCAGAAAGGAGAAATTCTGGCTGGTATAGGGACTGTGCTGCCTTAGTGGCAGAAATGCAAATACTGCTGGGTATGTGTATCAGTGTGATTGGGAAATCTTGCAGGAATGTGCAGAAATGTTAAATCTTAAGGACAGATCAGCTACAGGAACATGCAGTATGAACTAGCCATTAATAAACTTACAGAAAGGAAAACTATTGAGCTACTTCAAACCCAGTTACTTCTCCACTAAGAGTTTTGGGAGCTGTGGAGCAAGCCAATGTGAAGGTGAAGTTAGGAAAAGGGTAAAAGCTGGTTGCCTGCGATAACAGTCATTGGAGTCAGGGACTGGGAAAGTCCTTTCAGTTCTGTATTTCTGCATGTTTTGCTCTGACAGCCAGATACCTATCAGCTGATGGAGACCCTTGATAATCACTTCCAGTATTATTTATATCCTGCATAATAATGATGGCCTTTTTTTCTTTTATTTCCTTATATGGTGAATGATGTCTGAGTGACAACTTGTTTATGGCACTGACGATAGCTGGTGTTTTTTCAGTTTCAGTTTTTAGGAAAATCTGCATCTTGATTGTGCAAGTGTATTAGCACACTCTTAGAAGACTTCTAGGGCTGAAAAATGACTACTCACTTTAGAGAATGTTTTACACAAATTTCACAGCTTGCCAGTGATAATTTACCAAATCAAGGGACTAGACAAGAAAAGCATAGATTAATCCCTTTCATAGATAACTTTCCAGATAGAACATTTTTACATGTAATGTTTTGAAACTCTTAAAGAACCTAGATATTAGTTTGCCTGTAAATTTAGCAGTAGCTTACAGAATGTATTTATTCATATGCTACCATATATAGATGTTAAAACTGATTACATACTTGTTTAATATTAATATCGATGATTATCAAATTATGCCAGAAAGAGAACCGCATTAGTGTTTGTGAGGGTTCCCGTGGGTGCCGTTGTTCTGGTGCTGCAAATGGATGAAATGTGGAGATTGAGTGGATCTCTGGCAAGCACTACCACTTTTTCCAACTTCAGCCATCCAGCAAAAACAAAATTACTCTGCCTTTACTGAGAAAATAATGTTATTTTCTTGATGTGGTAAAAGTGTATTTCAGGGGAAAATATTCCCCCCCCCCAATATTTTTATTCAAAATTTGTGGCTGTATCAGAATAATAAGGCTTTTGGAAAGTGACTTTAGCCAATGATTTTAGCAGGACATTTTTGTTTGGATAGGAAAGAGATTCCTGAAGTTTGGTTTTGTTTTGTTTTTTTTCTTTCCTTAGGATGAGAAAGGCTATGCACAGAGGTTCTTAAAATATCACATCACATAGAGAATGGATTTCTGAATTAAAGCAGGTAGGTGTCTATTCTGTGTTAAAACGTCTAGTTTTGAGACAGGGATGGTGACATTTCAAAATGTCACACTAAGCCTGAGTAATATCTCTTGAGAGAGAGGTAAAAAGATGTGAAGTTTCAAATGCTCAGAAGTAGATTTCAGATTTCTGTACTTTCAAGTTATGCTATCAAATTAGCTTGTGGAAGAAGAGTTTAAAATGAGAGATGTTTTCTTTCCTACCCTTGCCTTTCATGTCTCTATGATTCAAGTAATTAAGTTCTTTTAACTGTAAAATGAAACACCAGTTTCTCTAAACAATAGATTAAAGAACACAAAAGAATACAAAACTTCTTTCAACTACAACTGTGCAAACAGGTACACGAAGAGTTTTGTGTCGTTTGGGTTTTTATATGTATAAAATAACTAGCAATTATATGAAGTTTAAAGGTATGTTTTTCCACATGGTTTTAATATTTATATGGATAAAATACACCCTACCACATAGGGTAGAGAGGCAGTCAAACACCGTGTTAGGGTTGGAGGTTGGATGAACTTGACTTTACTGCACTTGAAACTGCCAAAATGCATCAGATTTTTAAATAGCACTTTCCACTGAAGATGTTTAAAGCCTTAATCCTTGCATCATTTCACTAATAGAGGTCAACAGATACAATAAAATGAATACGTGGTGGGAACAAATGTGTGATCTAGTTACTAACACACATTATATTCTCATCTTAGTGCTCACAGTAATTGTGAGTATTGTACAGTGGAAAGGGTAAAGCTGATATGTGATACAGTTTGCATCAGCCAGAATTTGGAGGATCACTTGCTAGACTTTGTCAAATGCATTTTGCAAGTTCACATGCATGTCTTAAAAGCTATTAGAAGTTAGGTCCTCTTTCAAAGAAAACCGGGCTGTGGTGGGAGGAAGGAAAAAAAAAGAAAAAAAAAAAAGGCGTTGTTCACTAAACCTCTCCCTTCTGTGGGTACCTTATAGTGAAAGGCATGTGGAGAGAGTGAATGTGTGGAAGCTGCTGATGTCCTATTTCATACAGATATCTATATAATTTCTCCTTGTGCATATTGAGATTTTGTTGCTTAGGGTCAGTAGTGTCCTAACTGCCGTAAAAAAGACAACGTGTAATTCTTTCAGCTAGACAGAGGCACTCATGAGTATTTTCATCACTACAGAATTAAAGCTCGGAATGGAAACTCTCTGGCTGAAACTTGCACCTTATACGCTCTTCTAGCTATAATTAAAATAATCTGCACTTCAGAGGTTTGATTTTCATCAGCCATATGTACGCACACCCTCTCTGGATTTCTTTCCCCCATTCAAAATTGGCGAAATAAGCAGGTCTTCCTTCATTTCGGAGTTCTCCGAGCCTGTGCAAGGCCCGTGGGGGGCAGAGACCCGGCTGTGGGAGTGGCCCTCAGGCCCCGAAGTGCGCCATGACCCAGGAAGTTATACGGCTTGTTCACTATTTCCACTGTGACAATTTTATCCTACCACTTCTGTCCCTTACTTGCAGACTCTAATTTGCAGCTTCTTTTTTTTTCGCTAATCCTTG